TTTAGGGCTTCAGGCGTTTCGGGGTTGAGGGTTTCTAGGGCTTCCTTCAAGGGCTCGTTTAAGCGGCTACGAAGGGGGTTTCCATGTAAGGCTTCTCTTTGGGCTTCAGGGGGTTTAGTGTGTAGGGGTTTAGGGTTTCCGGGAGGTCTCGCAGTTGGCTAGAGTTTGGGAATTTATGAGTGGCATTCTGGGATACTGTTCATGTCACATGTGGTTTTTCCAGAGGCCGGTGATGGCATGACACAGATGCCTTCTGTTTCCTTGAAGTGTTTCGCACCCTTTGCTAGCTTTGATTCTTGATGGAAAGGCCTGTCGGAAGGAGCGCACGAGGACTGCGTCGCGAGCTGTGAGTAGTTGAGCAACGGTTACCGATTGTCTCGTGGAGCGAACAGTTCAAGATTCACCGTGTCTGGCAGCGGGCCTTTTTTTCTCGTAGTTGGCTGCTAGCTGACTGAGCAGCACATCTTAAGCGACAAGGGCAACATTTCCGCCTCACGCTGCAGCACCTCTACCCTGCAGTTGTGGAGGACAAACTGATGGGGCGGAGAATTCTGAGGCGATGTGCTTGGGAACATTCTTGGCGCGAGGTTCCGGTGTCGCGTAGTTCTGGAGTGGTTACAGCAAGAGCTCGGTAGGTAAAGATCCATGCGATTGATGTTAAGCGTGCAGGCAGTCATGTGTAATTCATTCAGTCAAACTGAAAACCCTAAACCCTAAACCTTGAAGACACAATACCCCAAGCCGCATCCAGGTGTGATAGCCCCTTGAGCCCCTACAAAGCCTGGCACAAACGGCACGAACCCTTACAAAACCCTGTGCTAGGAGGATGATGGCACTTAGAGCTTAATTGGGGTCTAAACTGGTTATAAGTACAGTTGCCCTAAGAATACCCAAAGACACTATGTCCCACGATCGTGTAAGTAGCCAAGATCCCTACAAAAATCGGATCGACGCATCCCGGGGGGGGGAGCTTTCTCTGTCAGCTGGTCTCTTGTGAGAACCGGCCAGCTGGTTCAATGGATCTTCCGATCATCGTGCGAAAATGCTCCCAAAATTCGTTCTGACATCAACGAACAGTAGGATTGCAAGAGCCACAAGGAAGTGATCATGTGGAGGTTGGTGATCGCCATCGCACTAGTAGTAGTAGTAGTAGTAGTAGTAGTAGTAGTAGCAGCAGTCATAGTAGTAGGAGCAGCAGTAGTACTAGCCGTGGTAGTAGTAGTAGTAGCAGTAGTAGTAGTCGTGGTAGTAGTAG